ATAAAAGAGATAATAAAATGGAGCAGAAGGCAAGACGCTTTGAAGCATCTGTAAAATGAATCAATGTCCATGACAACAATATCCCTGGTTCAATCAGCAACTAAGAAAGCAATCTCTGCAAAAGCAAGCATTTCTTTCTAGAGGTAGTCTAAATTACTTCTGAGTTCTTTGCAGGGGCAATCCAGATGACCTGTTGGTCTGGCAACTAAACCTCCGAACCGTTTCTGTCACTGTCGACTGCGTCTCGTGCCTTCTGCTCATAAAAATAAAAAAAAGGCTGTATCGATTTCACCGCGATGTACTCGACACGTATCTGGAGGCAGCACGCTGGCTGTGCGACGAACTTCACAAGGTGTAGGAGCTGAAGAGAGTATGTAGCTTGTGGACGGCCATGACTGTGGAGCAGGAAGCGAAGTGTGCACTTTACGGCTTCCACGGGGACGGCTTCACTGAGGGCAAGGATGTGACGGGGTCCTTGGTGGTCAGGACCTCAGTCGTGGTGGCGAGAGGTTCCCTGTCGCTGGCGGCGTCCGTTCTGGGCAACACCGCAGCGAGGGCGCTGAGGGGCTTCCCGACGGTGTCCCTGGTGGTCGGGACTACCGTCGTGGCGGCTGACCCCTTGCGTGTGGCGCTCCGCACGGGCACGTCTGCGGCGGGTTCCGAACCGGGCGACAAGGCGCTGCCTCAGCCTTCCCCCTGTCCGAGAGGCCGACCGGAAGGCCGACCGGAGGGCCGGCAGGAGCCAGCCTCTCGGGAGCCGACGCTGACCTCTCCGAGCTCGGCTCAGAACCGTCCGAGCTCGGCTCAGACTCCAACTCTGACTCTTCAGGGTCGGAGTCTGACTCCGGCTCTGGCTCGCTCGATGCAAGGCAGATGTTGTGGAGCACTGCACATGCCGAAATAATGGCGGTGGCTGTTGAAGGGTGGTAATACAGAGCCCGGTGCCTTTGCAGACACCGGAATCTGTTTTTCAACAGCCCGATGCAGCGCAGACCTGATCGAATGCAAACAGACTTGATCGAGGAATGCGCCTTATTAAACCGGCCGCAAGCGGTGGAGGTCGCGTGGTTCCCGGGGACAGGGGTGATTAGCCAAGGCTCCAAGGGGTAGCCGCTGTCACCTGCACATGTAGAGGATGGAACATATTACATTCTTTACTTTTTAAAATAAAAGGCAAGAAAACAGCTGTGTGCAACTATGTCAATGATAATGTAACTTAAGTGTGACTTAAAAGTGTGTTAATATTTCTGCACTACAGTATCAGTTTACATTATGATTAATTAGCACCAGCTTGCCTGCAAACTCCCTGTTATTTCATGTAACTATGTGTTTTCCTGGTGGGTTGTATGGGATGTGTGCACGATTCCTTAGGGGTGCTGTGTTGTATGCAAGTGCATTATTAGGCCCTTGCATCCGACAGATAAAAGCTCTGTTGCTTTTGGGAGTGTGGCCGTGACCTTAGGCACGGGCAGAGCAGAACACGCTGGCCTTGTCTTTGGCAAGCAAGGGGATAAGGCGCCGGTTCGACGAACCTCTTTCCTAATCCTCGGTGGAGTTGGAGATGGAGAAAAGAGAGGGGGTGGTTAGATTGGAAAGGAGTCAGGTCCTGCTGGGACACGGAGGGTCTAATAGGAGGAGCTATATAGGCAGACCGAAGAAGAAGGGTCAGGGAAAAGAATCCAGTGTGTGGGACAGAGACGACCCGAGGACAGATTTGGCGAGCCCCAAGTGGCCAAGGAGGAATTGATCCCATTCCGTACAAACTGACGACCGTCAAAGCGACCAGGCGAGCCCTCAGGGATCGGCGAAAGAGCTCCAACTTCATGCAAAAACCAACCAGCAAGAGGGTACAGGCAGACAGTAACAGTGAGTGGGCCGAACCGGACAACGACTCGCACTGCGGTTGCATGCCTTGCATAGTCTATCACTGTCGTGAGATTGGTCTAGTGTGGCTTTCGTAGCCTGCAGAGTGTGAGAGTTATGTGGACATAAACAGAGATTAATGGCCAAACTTTGGGTGTTGTCTCACTTCAAGGAGTTCCAGCAACTGTGTCTGTGTGCCTCACCACAAGCACAGTACGTGTGGTACTGTGGCTTTCAAGCAGTGGGAGCCACCGTGTGCGTAAGGAATGAATTTAGTATGCTCACTGAGCAGGAACCGGCCGTCGCGTGGCACCTGCCCTTGCTCTAGTTGGCTTCGGAGCCAGGAAAATTGCGACACGAAGGAGTCGTGCACCGACCCGGGATACCGTGGGTCGATGCACATTATCCGGCAGTCGGCGTCACACACCTGAAAGTGAGAGAGATATTGACATGTAATTACCTGAATCCACAAGTAGTAGATTGTACTTATGGTTCACAAAGCAGTCGCAATTTCAGAACCTTTTAAGTTATTTTGTCTGACACATGCATGTCAACACACCTTCCTGGATGCAAGGTACACCTAACTACCTTGAAACAAAAATAATGTGTTTTTTGTTTTTTTTACGGAAGCTTGCACGTTTTAGCAGACAAGTATTATTTTTGGGAGAAGAGTCTCACGGCTCACATGCTACGTAGAGCACACGCTCGTGCAGTCGTGAGACCCCACAGCCCGCAGTCATAAAACGGCATACTTAAACCGTATCGGCAATACGTTTGTTTTTTTTCTACAGATTTGGGGCGCGTTTTGACAACGTAACATGAGTGTACTTACCACCATCACGTTGAGGGCGTAGAAGTACTTGCGGCACCAGTACGCCGCCTTCGTGACGGTGGGGTCGTTCTTGGACGGGCCGACGATGGAGACCAGGGTCCCGTCCACGCAACCGATGACGCCGGGTATCCTGCCGAGCAGCCTGAAGCCCTTCTCCGCGTCGAACCTCTCGCTCGGCGTCTCGGGGAAGTGGATCCAGCCACGCTGGACCCCGAGACGACGCACGATAGCGACGGACACGGCGCGGACCGCAACGCTGACTGTCTTTTGGTCCCGCGCTACGTGTTCGTCGCTCGCCACCATGCCTTGGAAGCTCCCCGTGCCGTAGAAGCGCAGTGCACACAACACTTGAAGCTCCACAGTCATGACCGTCCACGAAGTACGCACTCTCCTCACCTCCGGTTCCTCGCGAAGTTCGTCGCACAACCACCGCACCACGATCTTGGGCAGGCGGTATTGCTTCCGAAAGATCTCCTCCGGGAGCTGGAATGCATCGCGGTGTTCCCGATACAGCCTTTCGGGCGAAAAAAAAAGCTCTATTAAAGAAAAAGTCGAAGTGACAAGACGGCGACGCCTCGCCGCCGAAAACATGCTGCCAATAACACCTAGTTCCGAGCAAGTACCCTTTGAAACGTACTCGGTACAAAACGAAACGTCATTTTGTTGTCACGTCCGGTAGCCGACTCCGCCCAGTTTTGCCGACTCCGCCCACATTTTTCTAGGGAAATTACGTCACTTTTGTTTCCAACCAATCAGACGTGATGACGTCACTTCCGTGTACTAAAAAAAGGTACATGTACAATGTCGAACCTAGCTATCCAGCAGGGATGCTAATTATGCAAACATTGCTTGGATGTGGGCTAGTTGACTAGACATTGTGATGGTTTGCTGCGCCACGTAGATGCAAGAAAAACGCTCTTGATAAAGATATAAACTAAAGCAGAGTATAGACGAAAAACAACATACAGAAATGGCGCAGACTAACAACTGTGTAATTTCTTTCTCATCTTTCTCCCCCCACACCGCCACACAGCCACACTATTTTTTTTTTTTCAGAATAAGGTGCACGTGGAGCGAAAGCTCGCGCTGCAGAACCCAGGATCGTGGATTCACCCCCACCGCCGCCGACCCCCACCCCTGCTCTTATCGATGTCGATGAGCATCGTACCGGCATGCGGTCGTGTATCACTACTACGTGGTGCACGTTAAAGACCCTAGGCTAGCAGTCATACTGCAGTGGCTAAATTGCTTATCTACAGTAGGTGACAATGTCGCAATGTTCTGGCATGTTCTCCTGCTGTATAAACAACTAACGGCCAATTTGTTTGTCAAAATACGGTGTGGAAGAAGAAAGATGAGAAAGAAATTACACAGTTGTTAGTCTGCGCCATTCATGTATATTGCTTTTGTTCTATCATCTGTTTTAGTTTGAATTTTATCAATTGCGTTTATCTTGCATCTACGCAGCACAGCAACCCATCAAAATAATTGTAAAAGCCTGTAGGTAATGGAAAATTGCGCTCCTGGTTGCAGATTGCCGTAAAAACACATTTGTTTCTAGGATTCACTTTGTAGAATTTGGATGTAGGATTCACGATGGGGGCGACGGTTCATTCACGGCTCCATCGCCTCAAGCCCGGTTCGCCACGCAGTTCATCGCACAGCCACCTTACCACGTCTTTCGAGAGGCGATAGTGTTGTTGAAAATGAAGGTCGTCCATGTCCAACACATTGGCGTGGTTTAAATACCTATGCCGACGGCAAAACACGAACGAAAACGCTGCCATTTTGGACGCTTCTCCCTTCTCTCGCGCCCAACTCGCCCAAACTCGCCTAGGTCGGAGCCTAGCTTTTCCCATCCGCGGCGGCTTCTGCTACGTCACAATAACGTCACCGCATCTCGCCGCGAGTTCCGAATAAGCAACTCTCCGACCGCCTCAAACCCTCCGTTTAACGTCACGATCTAGGGAGTGTCGGCGCGTGTCGTCATGCACGGCGCCGACCAATCGCGGCGGTCGGCGAGTTTGGCGGAGAACTCGCCTCGATCTCGCCGCGCCGAGCTTAGCCCCCCTGGACCGCGGCGAGAAGCGGCGAGAAAACTCGCCGAGGCGCCGACAGCCGTGATTGGTCGGCGCCGCGACTGACCTTGGAGCCGGCAACTCCCTAGACGCTGACGTCACCGTGGCGCGGACAGAGTCGCCCAACTTGAAAACGCAATCTCGCCGGCGAATTCCCCGTGACGTCATAGTGATGTCACGGTGACTCGCCGCGAGTTCGGAAAGCGCGCCCGGTTGGAGAGGGGCGAGCAGTGGCGGGATCGCGCGAGAAGCGAAGATGGCGGCGTACGAATTGCTGTACTTGTGGTTTCGCCGACGACGGCGTTTTTTCACGCACGTCGACGCGTTTGTTATGGACGACGACGAGTTCGGCCGGCACTACCGATTGTCTAAGAACATCGTGCGGTGGTTCTGCGACGAACTTCGAGACGACGCGGCCTTGAGGCGGCAGCGACGCGCAAGGACGGTGATGACGGTGGAGCAGCAGGTGCTTTGTGCGCTACGATTCTACGCCACTGGAAGCTACCACGGTCAAGTGGCCAGCGACCGGCACCTCGCTGTTCACCAGACCACCGTCAGCGCTTGTGTTGGGGCCGTGTCTACGGCCATCGTGCGCCGCCTCGGTCCCCGGTGGATCGCCTTCCCCGAGACCGCGGAGGAACGGGCGGCGACGCAAGAAGCCTTCCTTCGTCGCGGTTCCTTGCCCGGAGTCGTCGGGTGCGTCGACGGCACCTTCGTCGCCATCAAGGGACCTACTAAGTACGACCCTACCGTGACGAAGGCGCTCTACTGGTGTAGAAAACAGTACTACGCCCTAAACGTCATGGTGGTAAGTACAATATCATTTCCAGTTCGCGTTGATCCCCGACGCACACGAATTGAATACCAAATCGTATTTACGCCGATAGACTTAGGTCTCGTATAAAACGAATATCTGAAGTTGGAGCATAACTTAGTGGGAAGGTGTCCGCCTGTCACGGAGCGGACCCGGGTTCAATCCAGAAAGTGGACATACTGTTTTGGCGATGTTTAAGAGATTTCATTTTTTACAATTATAGGTGAAAAAAAAACGTTGTCGACGAAACTTTGCTGAATTAAATGGTATCGGACTCCCTTTCCGGAGGCGTGTAATGACGGACAGCGGGGCTTGAGTTGCCGGCTGGACACTGCGAAGCGGCGTGTACGGGGGACGAACTGGGTTGATAGTTTTGTAATGAGCAGCCACAGACTGGTCGCTGCTAAGTGCAGTGAACGCAAGGGGGAGGGGGGGGGGGGGTTGGTCGGGTTGGTTAACACGTTTCAGAGTGATACACGCGCCGTCCGAAAAGGGTGACCCAAATGGCGTGATCCCTCCGCGTCGTGCGTATGGCCATCTCCGGTCAAGGTGCACGACGTCGTGCTATTATAGCCTTACTCTTTTTCGTAAGTGTTCTGGCCAGGGACATTCCCGAGTCAAATATATTCGTGCCTCCGGTAGACGCAGTGGCGTAGCCAGGAATGTTTTTCAATAGGGAATGGGGGGAGGTGCTTGGGATGTCCATGACTTGGGGGGCGGAGCGGTGGAAGGCTCTAAATGTATGTGTATAGTATAGGGTCGGCTGGGGGGGAACGTGCTGAAATGCCAAAAGCCTCCCTCTGGCTATGCCACTGGGTAGACCTGGTGCTATTCAAACTTGTCGAGGAACACTTGTATGACAAGAAAGCGACCTGTAAAAATTGAGGAATGTATGCGACAACTGTACAAACTGTGCGCCAGCATCTGTCCTACCTCCCTCTGAGTGCCCTCTTTATTCTAGGTGTCTGACGCCGACCTGCGTATCCTGGCCATCGACCCAAGGATGCCCGGCTCAACCCACGACTCATATGTGTGGAGGCGTTCGTGGGTGCGCCAAGAGTGCGTTGCTGGACATCTTGTCAGGCCCAATGAGTACCTGCTTGGTGAGTGATCTTAACTCAGCACCGCAAAGGCCCGTTCAGACACTTACGACGACACGCCTCGGGCACCAGTGAACCTCCCCGCAAAATGCTCCGAGGCCAGCGATGTGCCCTCGGACAGCGGTGCAGGCGGGTCACAGCTCCCGCTCGAGTCGTACGAGCCTAAACCAAAGCAAAGATTTTCTTATACTTGTTGTTTCTGACCAAATGAGACAAGACCGGTTTTTAAGCGTCTTACTACCGGATGCGTTGCTGCGGAGCTAGTCGTAAGCCATAACAAGAGGCTTAAAAACCGGTCTTGTCTCAGTCGGTTGTAGTTAAACGCAACTGTGTGGACAGGCCTTAAGGCCACGGTCCCACAGAATATGGCAGTTTAGGTACTTTTTGACAGGTAATTACTCATCTCCTTTTAAATACTGTTTTGTGGGATTGATGTCATTCGAAAGGCAATGCAATCCTCTTTCATTTGATATTATGTGTGTGTTGGTTTCTACTGTTCATGCGCATTTGTAGCGTTGCGAATATGATGTCGCGGACCCTCACTTGCTCCGCTAGTTCATGTTTTGTGAACGATCCATTAAAGATAACACGGTTCCAATATAGCAGTTTTGTTAAGATGATGTCGGAGCAGAATGTAACGATACACTTTTTTGGTGTTTGCACTACTTTGTTTTTTTCATCCCTCCAAACATTGCCCTAAAATTGGCATTTTTCAGCACAAATATGTCTTTAATGACAAGCGCTAGGACAACGAAATTAGCGACAGATGTATTGCTTAGTATTGGTAATATGCAGAAAAAAATTAATGTTGTGTAAAAGTTTTTTATTCCATATTTTATATCAAACATAGCACTTTTTGGTGCTTCGAGTCATGGTACTTCAAATGCCGCTAAGGAAATAATTAAACTATGATAAAATATTTTATAACAATTAGAGCTACAATGGTTTCCCAAGAGGTGGACGATGGATTTTTTTTCATTTTCAAGGTCATAACGCTCCAGGAGCCCTTCAAACTTACCTGTTTTTGACGCATATCTTTTTTGGGCATCATACAGATTTATTGGCATCTAATAACATTTATTGTTTGGAATAGATATACAATGCAATGTATTAAATTTTCACAATGATATTGCTTTGGTTTTTTAATAGGTGTGGAGCTTAGATAAATTTAAAAAAAAACAATTAAAAACTGTTTGGGTGTCTTGTTGCGCTACCTGGCGGATGGCAGACAAACTGCTGACTTTTAATGATCAAAACATTTCCGAGGGCGGCGTTGGCGTCTGTATCATCATCAATTTCCGTGTTTTTTTTACCTTCATATTTAAAAAAATATATTGGAAGATTTACTATTGATGAATGAATGGTTTAAGTACTGAGTCAAGTTAATAAATATAAAACAAATAATTACACAAGCGTAGCGTGATAAAATGTGTTCATTATTCGATATGATTGAAATCAATAAACAATAAAGACGAAGAGGAAAAGAATACACCCGAGTTCACTTCGTGCCTAGAGTCACTAAATGAGCTTTAAAATATCGGCACTCCGTTCCCCAAAATTGTTTTGGGCGCCGCCATTTTGGGTCTTGTTCAGAGCAAACGCAACGGCCGATCGTCATGATCCAAAAGTACGACTTCCTCAGCATTAGATGCGGTGCTAGGAAGCTGATGCAATATTGCAATGCTCTGTCGCGGGTTGTTTAAACATTTGTGCGGGACGGAAAAGCGTTTCCTGTGATTTTAGATGAAGCTTCAGATAACTGGCAACCATGATTTTAAGCCACAATATGGCCAAGTGTCGTTACTCTGAACCGTAGCTAATTTACTGGCACAAGCGGGAACAGTGAGGAAGAGGCTGGTGTCAAAATATAGTGGCTTGTGGAATCCACGGGGCTTACGCCATGACCCCTTCAGGTATTACAAGACTCTTGAACAAGAGCATGAATAATGCCATTAAATAAGCTACGCTTTAGAGTAGCGACACTTGGCCATATTGTGGCTTAAAATCATGGTTGCCAGTTATTTGAAGCTTTTTCTGAAATCACAAGAAACGCTTTTCCGCCCTCCACTGTAAACAGTGTGCGAAAAAGCAAAGCAACATTACATGAGCTTCTTGAGCTTCGAGCTGGTCTCGAAACGTAGGGTTTTGCCTTTATACGAGGATTTGGTTGGTGTATATTTTATTTATTATTATTGTTGCTCCCCAACCAGAGAGACATCTCTCAAATGTTCACCTTCATGAGCTTCTTAACACCGCATCTAATGCTGAGGATGTCGCACTTTTGAATCATGACGATTGGCAGTTGCGCCTGCTCTGCCCAATCACCAAAATGGCGGCGTTCACAACACTGCCGGGGAAGAGAGTGCCGATACTCTAAGCGCCTCTCATTTGTAATTATATCAGCTTGAACTTTAGAAATACCTAGAACACAAAGACAGAAAGGACAGAATATGACACACAGCTGACTACCAACGATGTTTTAGTGTAAACTTCGTCCTTGCGCTTTTGCTCCTTCCTTTTGAGTCCCAAGTGGAGCACAATAACCTATTATATAAATTACCCTATTCCACTAATAAAGATCACTCCCGATATTTACACTTATACAAAAATATGTACAAATCATTTGCACAGTATTCCTAGCAAATTATTGTTTTTGAACTAACCCGCCACAAGCCCGTGCTGTTGTTGTTTGGGGCGTGACATTCTGTAGGTAATGTCTTTCTTTTTTGTGGATGGTGATTGATAGCGTGCTGACACAGTCCTTCGCGTGCTCCTCGGTGGCGAGCGCCTCGAGCATTTCGCGTGCATGAGGATTGTTGTGTCTTCCAAGGATGGTGGTGCTGTTCAAAGCTACACTGCACTGGCATGTCCTCCAATGAGCTGCCAGATGTCCTGCCGCTGTTCCCTTTAAGGGGTATTCACACGAGGGAGAAATCCCGGGGATTTCTCCCCGGCACGCGCATTCAACGACGAAAACGTCAGGCTTTGCGATGTGCAAAAGCCTCGCGTTTTTATCTCGTGATGCGCGCGTGCCGGGGAGAAATCCCCGGGATTTCTCCCTCGTGTGAATACCCCTTTAGAGACGCTGCATGCTCACGGGCCCTGTCGTTGATACATCGGCCTGTTTGGCCGATGTAGCATTTCCCGCAAGACAGGGGAATGTGGTACACCACTCCTGTTGAGCATGGGAGATATTGCGTTCAGTGGGCCGTGTTGCAGGATTTATTCTTTCTTTTTCGGTTCACTTCACTGCACATATAGTATGCTTTGTTGGGCGCGTCTTTGTGTTCTAGATATTTCTAAAGTTCAAGCTGATATAGTTACAAGTATGTACCAACAAGCTCAATTCTCAACCGTTAAGCCGCTCATTTATTGGCTCTAGTTCCCGCGAAACTCCTTTTTCCTGACTGAAACTGAAACTAAATACGAATAATACACCATTATTATAGCTTATTTAGTTATAACCAACTACACATAATGAGAGGAGGAAGCGGCCGGGTAGGAGAAACGCGGGTTTTATGTGCGACCATTCGAACCGTCTCAAAAGAGAGAACGCGCGAGCTTTCGCTGGTTTAAAAAAAACATCCAAAGAAAAGAGGCGGCACGCTGTGTTCTTTGTTATTATGCGTCTACTTGCAGATTGTTGTGTGTATGTTTATACAGCCGGAAGTTAGTTGCCTTAGTGGGCGTCTGGTGTCTCAGCTGTAGATGAGCAATTTAGCCAGTGCGGTACAACCGCAAACCTGGGGTCTTTAACGTGCACCACGCAGTAGGGATACACAACCGCACGCCGGTACGATGCTCATCCAGATCGAAACGGGCAGGGGCGGGGTGGGATCTGCAGCGCGAGCTTTCGCTCCAAGCGCTCCGAGCTGGTGTGCGCTAAAGTGTGCGCTAGACCATGCACTCGGCCATCGACTCCCCCCCCCCAACCCCCCTCCCTCCTTGTGCGTTTAATTTATATACAGGTATAAGTATTTGAAGATTGACGATGGATGTCGATCGTCTCGAGGTAATGTAACGTAATAAAATTATATAAATAATAAATTTGTTGAAGGACTGAACGACTCAATTTTTCAATTCTTGGATTGTAATATGGCGGCAGCCTATTGTACTTACTGTTGACGAAGAGCAATATGAGGTGACGAGGTAATGATTAAATGGTGAGGCTCTATAAGGACGACGATTTTAGTGGGTGTCGAACCACAACGTACAGTGCCAGACTTGTTTCAAGTATCGTGTATCCAAAGACATTCTTCACCCGCAACAGAATATGGTAGAATCAATGAGGATGCTGCTTTACAACTGTACGTGGAACAGGAAAACTGCACTGTGCAGAAGTGCGGCTTATTCGTTAGTATTAGGGACGGATTTCTAGCAGCATTTCCTGATTGACTACTTGGAACAAGTGGCCTCGTTGACGTAAAGTGTCCCCGTTCCAAAAGATTCTTGAAACATACTTAAACCGCAAAGGAGTGTGAGGCGAAGAATAAGAAAAAGGAGCCTGGTGTGAAAGGTCCAAATCACCACCATAGCTTCTGCTATGAAATACAAGGGCAGTTACACAATACACGAAGAGAGTTTTGTGATTTAGTTATATTTACACTCAAGTGCATTGATATCCAACGTATCCAGAGGGATGACACCTTCTGGTCAACCAACATAGAGCCTTTTCTACTCAAGTTTTACATGGAAGGCCCAACTTCCGCTGAAATTCCTCACGTAGACGAGTTGTCCGACCGAATAAACTGCCATTACTCCCGATCTGGGAATCTCTCCATCTACGTTCGTAGGCCATAGTATCATGAAATCGAGGGGTGTGGCCCTTCGTCCGCCGAATATTGCTTCGGCGGACGAAGGACGTCGCGTGCTGCTGGAACAAGAACCTGGCGATTCTTCACTGAACTGCTTCTTCCGTAGGCTTCAAAAGGGCATTTTTCCGTTTCGCACACCATCTGTTTCCGCTTGCCGGTTAGTTGCAGGATGGTATGGTGCACTAATGTGATGCCTGATGCCGGTTTTTTTTTCTTCAAAAACTTGATTATTTTATTTGAAGCAAGATTTGGCGCGTTATCAGAGAAAAGTATTTTCTGTAGGCAAAAGTAGGTAAAAGAGACCAGAGAACGTCAATGACGTGTTTGGACGTCGTGGCAGGCATCGTGTAAACTTCCAGCCACTTAGAGTACGCATCGACCATGACTCCGCAGATACGGATACGTTTCGCCACCCACCGACTGAATAGTGGATCGTTTTCAGTTTCTGTTCATGATGGCGTTGGACTCAAGGAAGACTTCGAGTCTTTCCAGAAAGTTTCTGGGAACTATAATGTAACAACCTTTACAACATCTTCCGGACCCCGTGAAACACAATATTTCTTGACGGTTTTTTAGTCGTCATTACAATGGCGAGGTAAGTACCGTAAATCGCGAAGCAGTTTACTTGACATCCGCTTCCACTGGTGTCTTGGAAGATTGAATCTACTGAGCGTGCATTCCTGCAGAAGAAATTTTCATTCATAGAATATTGACACGTCAATCAACATTTGATTCCTTCTCGGTAAGATTTATTGGGAGTTACCGTTACAACCGCCGAACCGCATCTCCCTCTATCAGAGAACAATTTATACCCAGCCTGACATTCTCGCACTCAACCGTTTGCTGGGCCACGCTACTTGAGCCAGGTGAGCACAGCTGGCAGCGGCGCGAGCAAGGCCACGAGGGGAACGTGATGGTGCTCGAGCCATCCCACTGTGAACCAATGTTTCGGCCACCCCACGGGTGCGTGTCGCCATCTATTGGTTGAACTAACGCCTTGTTCAAGATGGCAGCCGTGGGACCGCAGCCTTAATGTTTCAGTCAAAGGCGACCACCAGTTAAGTCAAGTCAAGGTTTGTGGAGAAATTTTAGTGCTTGAGATACAGGATTAGAACATGCATTAGCAGTTTCAAAGTATCTTTGTTATGAAGCACATACTTTTCACTAGTAGGGAGTTTTAGTAGAGCATTCTATACCTCCAAGAACGACACACTATAGATCGATACGACGCACGCACAAAGGCATCAGCAAACTACTGGGTATTGTTTTCGGACTTACTGCAGCAATTGATTAAAACTAAATAATACCCGTTGATTGGTTGTTGTGAAAGCATTCTCCTCAAATGATACGAGTGAGGGACTATATACAGGATCAGTAGCACTTGTGCAAAGTGTAGGGAGGGGTTCAGATGTCTAAGGAACAGTCATAGTTCTTTCCATGCAGGCGACAGTGGGTACCCCCTGGAGCCCTGGCTGATGACTCCTGTGCCTGGGCGGCCAGCACTTGGCACACCGGCTGGACAATACAATCAGACCCACGCCTCCATGAGGGCAGTCGTGGAGCGCTGCATCGGGCTGCTGAAGAGCAGGTTCCGGTGCTTGCACAGGCACCGGACCCTTTGCCATCATCCGATGATCACCGGCACGATCGTGGCAGCCTGTGCGGTGCTCCACAATGTCTGCCTCTGCTCAGGGGAGGCCGAGCCAGAGCCACAGTCAGACTCAGACAGCAGTTCTGACGAGGACAGTGATGAAAAAGAAAGCGCTGACGCAGCTCGCGAGCGGAGGGGCCTCCAGTCGAGGCGTCTCTACAGTCAGGGCAAGGCTGTGCGGGACCGCCTTGTGCTTCTGCCGAGCACAACCCACCTGCAACGTGTCCGTGAACGACTGCGTCGCACCCGTCGTCGCCGCCAGCACCAGTGATGCACTGTCACTCGTCGCCGGGGCCTCTTTGTATTGTGTGTGTGCATGTGTGTTCGTAGAGTGGCGTGGATGTTGTGCCAAAGCCATTTTGGACTTCGTGTGCGCTTGTGTACAGTGATGTGGATGTGCCAGAGTCATCTTGTACCTTCTTTGTGCATGTGTACTGTGTGGTGGGTGTTATGCCAGAGCCATTTTGGACTCTGTGTGTGTGTGTGCTGCGCCGTGGATGTGCCGAAGCCATTTTGGAGTCTGTGTCAGTGTGTACTGTGCTGTGGATGTTGTGCCGGAGAGAGCTTGTTTGGACTCTGTGTGTGTGCATAGGGAAGGTGTTTTAATGTTTCGGGTGTAAGTACCACAGGCTTGGATGCATGTGCACGTGTAGTGCTTTTGAATTCTGTTCAGTGCTTTGGGCACAAACTCTACAGGTCTGGATTGCGTGGGGTACGTGTAGTGTTTTTTTGCTTCTTTTCAATGTTTTGAGTGCATGCTCCACAGGTCTGGATTGCATGGGGCACATGTAGCATTTTTCACATGTGTTCAATGTTTTGGGTGCATATCCCACAGGTGTGGATTGCATGAGGCACATGTAGCATTTTTTATTGTGTTCAATCTTTTGGGCACAAACTCCTCAGGTCTAACTTGCGTGTAAGCTTGTAGTGTTTTTGACTTGTAATCATTGTTTTGGGTGCAAGCTCCGCAGGTCAGGATTGCATGTGCACGTGTAGCGCTTTTGAATTCTGTCCTATGCTTTGGGTGCAAACTCCACAGGCCTGGATGCAATTACACGTGTAGTAGTTTTGAATTGGATCTATTGTTTTGGGTGCAAGCTTCACAGGTCTGGATTGCATGGACACAAGTAGTGCTTCCAACTTCTGTTTAATGTTTTGGTCGCAAGCTCCACAGGTTCCTGGATTGCATGGGCACTTGTAATGCTTTTGATTTCTGCTGTGGCACTTGCAGCTTTTTTCTGAAGATCGGCTGATGAGGGTCCCTGACACAGTAATGACAGGACTGCAAAGGATGTTTACAAGAAATAACAAGTAGTGCCGTTCAAAGTAATTCTGCCCACTATGTTGCATCTTTGAGGTGGTGCACCGTGGCTGGGTGTGATTAAGTTTGGTCTCAACTTATCTGAGTGAGGAACCTCATTTACCCTTGCCATATCTAGCAGATGCCAACAGGCAAAAATGTTCTTGCTAGCAAATGTGTTTTTTTTTATTTTTCACCATACTATTGGGTTTGAATGGAAGGCAAACACCAGAGACGGTGGCCGTCAACAGATGCTGCACCTGCAGGAGGCATCCGGAAACTGATAAAATTTTGAAATGGAGAATAGAGCGCTGCGAGGGGGTGCATCCTATTTCAATGTGCTTGAGCCTTGCCCAGCACAACCCAAGCGTCCACACTGCACAGGTGTTCTGCTGGAAGTTCCGTCACTGTTCGCATTTCATTCAAGCCCGATAGGACAGTCACTGTGTTTAATTCCGATTTCCCATATTGCTTGCATGTGTTGCGAGATATGCAACATTTTGGAGCAGATGCTTAGGTCTGTGCAGTCCACAGATCTTATGGTTGTTAGTCCCTGTCTCTGAATTAATTTGACATAAACAAATTCATGGCAAAGAGGTTCCGTATGAGGATTCGCCACAGTCGGGTGCTTGTACGACTCATAGAGTATGCTGTTCGAAAACATGAATGTTAGCGGTGTGTATATAGCCACAACGCTTAGTAAAGGAAGTGTTTTTTTGGCTTCTTGCTACGAAAGGTGGACCAAATACCATTGACTACCAATACTGGAAACTCGAGCCAAAAAACATGGGGTTGTCGGGAGACAGAGAAGTGCTGCCATCTCTCGGTGTGGGATGGTAAACTATGCGCTCGAAATTAAAAGGAAAACCGTCATTCACTACACTATTTCTTCTCTTCACACTATCAGGAATTGTGAATATATGGCAAATCGGTGTGCCGATTTCAATTGAGCAAGAGCTGATACATGGTATTTCTGATAATAAGGTGCGCTTCATATTAGCACTAAGTATTTAGATTATACGGACCTATGTATTACACCTGGTACAAATGACCTACTGGCAATTAGTGACTTTCTAGTAAATTCAAAGTTTATGGACCACTCTAAAGGCTATGGCTGTTACTAGCTGTAATGACTGGCTCTTTGCAGTTAGAAATAAAGCACAGCAATTCAGATATGTAATCGCTCCATGGTTCATTATTTTAAATTGCATGAGATTCACTTCAAATGAGTCTGGAAATGCTACTCGACGTAGTAATTACAGCCAGTAAATGCTACACTGGCTGTTTAACGAAGAGTCAGTATTTATAAGGAAGTAGAAATAGTGTCCGGTTCAGTTTTACCTGTCGTTTTGGGGGCCTGGTTAGCCTCTAATGACTGCAATTACTATTGGATTATATTTCTCAGTTTATTGAACGAGTATAAACTAGATTGCCTTCCAAGGGCTATTAATGGCTCTGGGCTAATATCCTAAGCTATTTCGGGGCATATAGACCAAGCAGCTGTTTATTAGGTAGTTCCATTTGTGATGGACTTTAATGACGATTAGTGACCATTTCGTGATATTTGTAATGTTATTTCTCAGATTTGATTTGAATGACTATTATTTGATATTCGATTTTATTTCCTAATTATATGGCGGATTTCGGTTCCAAATGACTTTTAATGACAATCAAGGACTATTTGTAACTCTTTTGAGTTATTTGATTGCGCGCGGCCTGAGTTGGCTTTCAATGGCTAATTCTGGCTTTTTGATCAAAATTTGACATGATAGATATGTAGTTCAAATGACTCCTAGTTACTTTTAATGGCTTTTGGCCACTATTTTGAGTTATTTGATTGTGTGCAGACTGAGCTGGCTTCATATGGCTATTATTGGCTATGTGATCATGTTTATAAATTATAAGGCAGATTTGGGGTCCAAATTACTTCCGTTTCTATCAATCACTATCGATCACTTTTTCAACTTATTTGTTGTGTGCAGACTGAGTCGGCTTCCAATGGCTACTATTGGCTATACATTTATATTTATAATTATATGGCAGATTTAGGGTCCAAATGACTTATAGTGATTGTCCATGACTAAAAGTCCCTATTTCTTTTTTTTTCTTTATTGAACTCAGGTTGCAGCACAAGGTGCTATGTCATAAAATACATTTTTGCCCAACCACTTGCGGGCGAACTATAGTTCCTTCATATTTCTGATCTCATCAAACAAGTGAGCCCACTCTGGCGAAGACTCTGGGGTCCTACAGTACACCGACTGGACCTCGCTGACAATTTCGATGAAATGTTTATGCACCGATTTAATTCCGGGGTCAGCATGCCGGAATTCCATTCTGGTTTTCCATATACAAAACAAGCCAAGGACAATGAAAAGGTCGTAAGGCACCGACTCACTCTCTTCGACCGGCAAGTATCGAATCGTCGCCGGGGACAACAAAAAATCTTTTTTCAGGGTCCTTTGCAGGATGTCCCAAAAAAAACACGGCGTCCCAACAGTAAATAAAGACATGGTCGATACTTTCCGGCGTCTTACATAGGAGGCAATCCACGGACCACGGGACGAAAATACCTCTGTCTCTAAACCAGGGTTTGACAGGCAATGTCTCGCTATGCAACTTGAAGAAAAAGGACTTGACTGCCGGTGGGACCCACATCCGTTTTACACGGCGGAGTACGTCTTGCCCGGGACAGTGGCTATACAGTGAGCGGTACAGTGGAGCAGGAAAAAGTATCTCGACCAGATCCTGCCTTAGTTTCTTTTTCGTGACTTTACCAAGGTATTCCATGGAAAACCGGGCTTGTAAAAATAATACAGCATCTTGGACCTCTTTTAAAAACCCTGAAAGACCAGCGGGTTCGGTACATTTGCTTGTAACCAACATTGTGGTCAGGGAGTTCGCTAGTCTCATCTGGATTATGGTGCGCAAAAATGGATGGTTCTGATCGCGCAAGAAGAAGAAGCGCGACACGAGCTTCCGGACGAAAAGGTGCGAGAGGCCAAGACCGCCTGACTTGACGCTTCGGAAAAGGTTATCCCTCTTCATCCTCTCCCATCCGGACTTCCAGATGAAAGTGGCGAACACCCTGTGAAATTTCTGGATGTTCATCCTAGAACATGTTAAAACTTGCATTATATACCATAGTTTGGCGATCAAAAAAATATTGCAGACTGTGGCACGCGCAAATATCGACAGGTTTCGATTAACCCAGGTGTCCGCTTTCACCTTTAAGTCTTTTGCCACTCCCGCCCAGTACCCCGTGGCACCTTTGTAGTACTCCAAGGGCACCCCAAGGTACTTACATGGTCCTTCTTCCCAATTAATGCCTGCAAAATAACGAGGCTTTAAATCCCACCTGCCATGCCACACTCCGCAACATTTCCCCCAGTTCACCGCGGCTCCCGTAGCGTTACAAAATTCTTTCGTGAGCATAACAATTTCCATGACGCTCTCTTCGTCGCTACAAAAAACGGCAACATCATCAGCGTACGCAGACACTTTAACCTCGACACTATTTAAAAGTAACCCTTGGATATTCCTATTAGCAATTACACTCAGACAAAAAGGTTCCAGGTACAAGGCAAACAATAAAGGCGAAAGGGGACAGCCCTGTCTGACAGATGAAAGTACCGGGATTTTCTTAGAAACATTATTATTTATAACAAGCCTGGTGGTGCAGCCCTTGTACGCCATTTCCACTCCCTTTTGAATCAGTTCACCTACGTTAACAAACGCTAAAATACTCTTTATGACATCGTGTCTGACTTTGTCAAAAGCTTTCTCCAAATCTAATTGAACCATTGCTACTCTACCCCTACCCACAGTTTCAAAAATACTTCTCGCTACATGAATATTAGTTTGAATAGACCTTCCTCTTATCCCACATGTCTGATGATCCCCGATGAGCGTTCCAATAACACTCTGAAGTCTGCGCGTTATGATTTTCGTGAAGATTTTATAATCTATATTACATAACGTAATGGGCCTATACCCCGTGACGCAAAGTTTCTTAACTTTATCTTCCGACTTCGGAATCAAGACAGTATGGGCTTCCGCAAATGAAAGTGGTAAAGAGTGGTTTTCATATGATTCGTTAAATACGCTCAACAATACTGGGCTAATGGCTTCTTTAAATGTCTGATAAAATTCGGCACAAAGCCCATCAGGTCCGGGTGTTTTCTGTCTCGCTAACGAGTCTATGGCTCGCCGAATTTCTTCTAGGGTGATCTCCCCCTCGAGCCAAATTTTTACTTCATCATTCAGCTTCGGCATAACTGACAAGAACTCATTGAATTTAGAAAATCCTACTGGGGTCGGTTTTTCCCCGAAAAGTTGCTCGAAGTGCTCAACAAAAGCAACTTCGATTGTATTTTTGTCCTTACTGACTTTCCCTTTATACTCTATTTCCCTAATCTCGCGTGTCAAGGCGTACTTCTTTTCCTCAGCCAGAGCTCGTTTCGTTGGCATCTCCCCCAGCAAAAACTTTTCCGCGCGAGCGCGGACGACTGCCCCTTTGTATTTCTCGAGGTACAGTTTTTCCAGCTCTAGTTTAACATTTCGGATGTCCTCGCTACTTGAGCCGGGTCGTTCACATTCCACTTGACAGAGTGCCTCCAGGTCTCTTCTCAACTGTCTTTCACGGGCTCGACTCTGAAATCTGATATTGCTTGCCCTTTCAATCGCAGCTAACTTTATGTCTCGCTTAAACTCTTCCCAAGCTGCGCTTATACAAGGTCTTTTTTCGGTGATAGCCCGCAAGTGTTCGCTAACTGTAGCAACGAAATGTTCGTCATTTAAAAGCGACCGGTTTAATTTCCAAAGCTCCCAGTTAAATTGGTTTTTACTTTCTTTCCTTCCAATTTGAACACTTACAAGGCAATGATCGGTAAAGAAGATTGGCCGCACACGGTATCTATGCGCTTGTCTAAGTGCGTCTGCTGAAACGTAGATGCGGTCTAGTCGGGCGTGCGAACTATTTTGAAAATGAGTGAAACTGACTCCCTCCCTTCCAGCGTATACGGCTCCCACATCCTCGAGCGCACACTCATCAACAATTCTTTTTAAAAAGCTTGCACTGCTGTCACTGTACGGTGTAAGAGCAGACCTATCCCTATCTTCACATACACAGTTAAAGTCCCCCATCAAAACAACAACCCTGTCACATTCTACGTAATTACGCAAAAACTGAAAAAAAATTTCCCTATCTCTTGCATTGTTGGGTGCATAGACGCAAATGACTCGCCACTGCACTCCTGACAGCACAAAATCACAAGAAATAAAACGACCACATGCGTCAATAACTACCTGCACACTTTCACAATTCACGGCCTTCTTTAAAAAGAGAAAACACCCCCCTGACCGCCCCACAGCATGACTTACAGCTATTTCGTATCTCCTAAGATAAGGATTGAGCGCTCTCTCGATATTATCGTCTGTCTGCATTTTGGTTTCTTGTACCGCAAAAAAGTCCGGTTGCTCGTCTTCTACTAGTCGTTGCAGCTGGTATTGCTTTTTCAACGAGGACAACCCTCGGACGTTTAAAGTGGCGAATCTAAGAGCCATTGCGGTGCAACTACAGACAGTCGGCGAGGCTACAACACAAAAAGCCGCTAAGTCAAATCGTTATATGATGGCGAAAGTACAACACTCTTACTTGAAATTTACCTAAAAAGTATGGTTCAGGTTCAGTGGTTACAGTTTCTTCACTGTGGAACCTTTGACGCGGGGTCCTCCCGTGGTCCCTGAGCGGCGGCGTGGCGTCGGCCTCTCTTGGATGTCCCCGTCTGCCACCTGTGGAGCGGCGAC